CGACCCCATCGCATTCTTTCCTTTTGTTTTTGCGAATCTTTTCGACCTTTTGTTGGGCTTTCCTTTTTAAAATTTGAATTTCAAATGCATGCCACTTGTTCGAACGTGTCAACTCTACCCGTCATGTCTGCTGGCGCTTTGTAGTTCGTGTTGTCCTCGTGTAGTGCGCCTAATAAATGCCAGATTAATATCATCCGTTCGATTGCCCTTTTAATCCAACGGTCAGTTTCGACTTGTCCTTTTATCTGCCATCTTTGATCTTGACCGTTGAATCTGACCACGATCTGACGGTTGAGGTCGATCAACCCCTTAACCTTCATCTTCCCTCGTTTATAAAAGTGACCCTTAGCCATATTTTTCTTGTTTTCCCTTTTTGCTAAAGAATCTTAATATACAACTCTTTCACTCGTTTGCATCCCGCAAAAATTGAAATTCAAGGTTCTCACCGTTGTTTGCCGCCATCCACCGGTGATCACAGCTTTTTCGGTCAACCAAACTATCATGCCTATGTGTAAGTCTTCTGCTCTTTTATTTTATTTTTGCATGCGCGATTTTCTTCTGATTTATCCTCGCAAAAACCTCTGATTTCATAATCCAAGATCTTTTTTTTTCTAATTCCTTCTCTCGGTTCATAAACTTTTCTCTTTCTTTTCTTTTTTTTCAGATTCTGCCACCTGCAGTGGCTAACCTCTATTTGGTGAGGATATGAGCTCTTCGTCCATCTCCTCGACCTCTACTCCTTCTTTTACCCTCCTACTTACTCCTCTTCAGAGGTCACTCCTCATCCCATTCTACCTTCCTCTCGGCCTGCTTCGCGTTCTTTGACCTCACGTACTTCTTCTCGACCTTCCCAGCCTTCTCCAATGATTCGTTCCTCTCACCAACCGCTCAAGTTGGTCGATGAACCTGAGTCCGAGGACGAAAAGGAATCATACTCCCCTCGTCGATTTGAGCCAACGACTAGCTCCATCCCTATGGGTGACATTTATCATATTTTCATGCATTATGAGTGATATATTGAGTTATTAGGCCATGATTATCATTTGATTGTGCACCATTTTGTTTGATTTAACAATCCATGATTGAGGTATTTTTGTCGTTGGTTTTGCAGGAAATATACCCGGAAAAGCGTTAAAATTGGAATTGGGACGAAAAACGGCAAAAACGGGGTGCAGAAGAGGAAACACGACTCGTGTGGGTAGTGACACGAGTCGTGTGGGTTGGAAAAATTAGAGACGCAGCTACGGCTTTGCCACACGGGTCGTGTGGGTTGTGACACGGATTGTGACACGGGTCGTGTGACCTCACACGACTCGTGTGACTTCTCGTGTGACCGGTCGTGTGGATCTGGAAGTTTGCCGAAAATTGGAGAAAAGTCACACGACTCGTGTGGCATGTGACACGACTCATGTGACGCGCAGACCAGATCAGCGGGGAATATGATTCATGTGCGATTTCTTACCTTTTTCAACCTATAATTGCCCTACAGTATAAAACAGACCTTAATAACTCGTTTTTGGGACTTTTGACACCATTGGAGGCCTAGAGAAAGCACGAAACACACGAGGGATTCGAGGAAGTCAAGATTGAAGATTCGGGAACTAATGGCGACAATAGTTCTGCTTTCTTTTCTCTTTTTCTTCTTCATTGAACTCATGGATTTATTTATTTTGAGTGTTGAGAATATGTTTAGTAGCTAAACCTTTTAGGGATTCTAGGATTTGTGAGTATTCAGATTATTTTATGAAGTGATTTTGTTTATTCATTCCGGTTTATCATTCGTTTATCAATTTCTTGTGCTCATATGAATTGTGTGAATATAGGGCCCGTATTTATGCATATTTGTGATTGACTTGAGATCGAGAGGAGATAGCTGATTGCTAGAATTGAGAAATTCATAACATAAGAGACTAAACAGACCGAGATGTTGATAAAATCTAGCGACAGAACTAGAATCTTAGGAGCTTATGGGAGTTAGTTGTTCATCTTGAGACCGAGAGGATAAAGATAACAAAAATATCTACGATTTAACTTGTTCGAGAGAAAGGTGTAAATTAATTTAGTGATTATCCCTACGATTGGTAGAATTAAATATGGTTTGAATGAATAAGAGATCTTTGCTAGAATAATCCCGAGGAAAGCATAGCCTAGAATCTATTTTCTCATTCTTGATTTATCTTAGAACAAGCTTTCATTAGTGTTAGAATTTATTTTGCAATCATTCATTAGTTTAGAAAAAAATCACCATTCAATTTTGAGTTAGTCTAGATAATATTTAGTCGTCGTTATTTTAGTACTTAATTAATTTAACTACAATCTCTATAGAATACTACCTTGTTCGCCACTACCTATAGCTACTACGTACACTTGCGAATAGTGAAAATATTTTGCGAACAAATTTTTGTGCCGACCCATTCCAGGTGCTACTCCTGATACGGCCCAAGACATGGTGACCATCGCCCACATGCCAGAATTGGCAGGATCGTCTCATTCTCAAGATCCATGCCACAGAAGCAACAAAGCAAATGGTGCAGTCCATTGTTCTTACAGTCAATGAGGAGAAAGAAAAACACCAGAAGAAGAAAGGAGGAGGTCGTTGACACTAATGACCAAAGAAAGTCAAGCAAACAAAAAGAAAAACATGTTGAGGACCCTACCACTTTGGAAAAAGGAGAAAACCGCTCGAGCAAGCCGGCTGCCACAGACCCTACCACAATAAAAGAAGGAAGCTTGCCAGCTATGTGATCCTTACCATGTGATGCTTAATAATTGTTCGTAGTTTCTACCACTATGTAATAATGTAGCAGTCAAACTCATGTGGAGGGTTTTTGCTTTTAGTCTGCTTTTTCAAAATGTGTTTAGTGAGACGGTGACATGTGTCGAATTCCAATAATTAACGCATTTTTAGTTTCTATATTAAGGGTGTCATTAAGGTGTGTGAGACATCGATCCCTCATCTTTAGAAAATTTATTAAAATTCTATAAGCACTTTCAATATTCAATCAGAAGAAGCTTTTGAGCATCAATCGAAAGAAGCTACGAGCTTCATACCACTAAAGCATTAAGCTTCAAAAATCTAGAAGCTATCAAGCTTCAAGAAAAATAGTCTAAAAAAGGATCAAACCAAGAGCTTAGGCTAGATTCCTCTGAAAATTCCTGTAGACACAATCGCTCGTCGGGGTAAGACCCATGGAGAAAGGCTGTAAAACGACTTGGAGCACAGTATTTGGAATTTGAGAAGAAAGCAGGAAGCTATGATGGACCAATCAATTCTAACAAATTCAACCAAAGAAGAAACCAAGGTAAATATCTGCATCTACCTCTAAAAAGAAAAGAGAATACACCTGAAAAATCTCAAAAAGATAAACAAGTCTTTGTAATACAAAAAGATCCTCTAAAATGAAGATCCCCTTAGCAAACGCATTCTAAAAGAATTGGATTTTATGCTATGATGTTCTTTGGTAGAAATTGTACAAGCCCGCATGATGTCAGTTGAGAACATGGGTTCATTCACCCTAACACCCATGTTTGTAAACCCAACAAAAAGGTTCACTGTCCTCCAACGTCCAACTGGACTTATATACAATGTCCTGAAAATAATTATGCATGCCCATTCTTGCAGAAATACCTTTCTAAAGAAGAATTATTCTGCACCTATGAAAGTAAACCTGACTGGCAGGGCTGGATCAAAGAAACGTGTTTGTCATCTGAGATGGTACATTGGATTTTATGCACAGAAATTGAATTGGCCATCATGATAAGTGAGAAGCCATTTTTAGATCTTCTAGAAATTGAATTGGCAATCATGATAAGTGAGAAGGTTCAAAGTGTGGTCAACTACGGTGAATTAGACGTCAAATATTCTCTAGATTACATATCACGACCCTTTAAAAAATGTAAATCTTTCTTAGACTTATTTATCTAGCAATCAAGCAATTCATGAGACCCAAGAATGTAACTGAGGCATCAGATGTTAATAGAGACAAAGACCCAACAACTTCGAGATAATTGCAAAATTAGCTCATAAACATATCCAAAGATGAATGCTTTAGCAGATCACATTAACCCAACAAAAGACAATTCACAATATTACATGCCCTGAAAATAATTACATGCCATTATCTCAAATATGAATGACCTGATAATAATTTTTGCATAAATACGTTTCTATAGAAGAATTATTCTGCACCTATGAAGATGAAGGATGATATACGCTAAACAAAAATATAATCAAAACACAGTGCGAACCAGTTCACAATTTCTCATAAAGGTAAACCTAATTCAGAGCAGTGGGATAATAGTCTTAGATGCGACGAGAGTAAACCATCACACTGGCATAATAATAATTGGCAGGATCAAAGAGTATGTGTTTGTCATCTAATATGGTAAATAGGGTTTTATGCACAGAACAACAAAGTGCATCTTCCCAAGGGTAAAGAGAAGCTATTTAAATCTTCTAGCAAAGGAATTGGCCATCATGATAAATGAGAAGACTCAAAGAGTAGCCAACTATGAAGTCACCAACATTTAGATGGCAAACATTCTTCATCTAGTCACAGCTGTCTCGTGATCTACTCCATATTACATATCATGACACTTAAAAAACACAAATATTTCTTAAACTATTTATCTAGCAATCAAGCAATTCATGAGACCCAAGAATGCAACTATGAGGCATCATAGATTAACATACACAAAGACCAAATAACTTCGAGATAATTGCAAAATTAGCTCATAAGAAAAGTAAAAGCATCCAAAGATGAATGCTTTAGCAGATCACACAGTCAATTTACCCAACAAAAGACAATTCAATATATTAAGAAGCTAAGACAATCAACAATCAGCATTGCATTTGAATAAAACAAGACTAAAATTTATCACCAAGCTCAATAAAGTACAGCCAGGCAGTCTCTACTGTCTCTTTTCCTTCAATGGAACACATTCAACAATAAAAATCCAGCAATATTACCAAAGAAAGCCATAAATCAATCCGAACCCCATCAATCGATGCTCTGCATGATATCCTCAGCCGTGAACTTGGTGCCCTTGTCCTTGTCGGCGGCGGCCCTCCCCTTCGCCTTGCGCTCTAGTAGTGACTTGCGGTCCTTGTCGAGGCGGAGCTTGGTGACGACCACCTTGGACGGGTGGATGCCGACGTTGACGGTGGACCCGTTGACCTTCTCGCGGGTGATCCGCTCGATATGGATAACCCATTTCTTGCGGTAGACCTGGACGACCTTGCCCTCGCGGCCTTTATACGTGCCGCGGACAACCTGGACCTCGTCGTCCTTGCGGACCGGCACGGATCGGACGTTGTACTTGGACCGGAGGTCGCTGGAGAGGGGAGCGCTCATCAGGATCCGGCGGACGCTCGACGGGGCAGTGAAATGGGCCTTCCTGTTTTTTCTCCGGGAGGAGGAGACATGTGGGTTGTACTTCATATTCGCCGCCGGAAGTGGAAGAGTGACGCTGGGAGATGGATGTTGCAGAGGCTGCCGATAGATTAGGGCTAGGGTTTTGGGGTGTTTTGTATATATATAGTGGCTTAAGGTTTTCAGGATATTCTGTGTTTGGGTTGTATTCTTTGTATCCGAAATGTGGGCTGTATTTCGTCTAAATTGCAAACCTTGGGCCTTATGTGATAAGTTTAAATCTGATACTAAGCCCATTCAGTGAATAAGTGTTCTACACCAAAACAAATGAATAATCCGAATATGGTGACCTAAAGGACGACTTGGTGACTGTTAACGGATGGTAAGCGACGAACCTCTTCAAACGGGGTTTGTTAACTTTCGGATTTGGCTATGCCGATCGATTTCAGTTGGGATTTCTCAGCCTTCATCTGAGATGTCTCGGTCTTCAAGTGGATATTTATTTACCAAGTCATCCGAGGTCGGTCTTATGGTGATTCAGCAGGGTGTGCAAGCTAACGATGGCCGCTTCGCTAATCGTGAGCTTGTTTTTCAACCTCGCAACCTTAGAGGTCTTAGTCTTGCCGGCCAAGACCTCATTCAGCATAGGGGCCAGAGCATACAGCGCCTGCAAGGTCAAGGGTAGCAGATTAAGTGTATGTTCCCAGTGCACGGAGGTCGACCCCAAGCACGCAAGTAAGAAAAGTATTAAAAGGACATAGGAGGAGGTCATACCTAAACGGTGCGGTTAATAGCATAGCCAACTCGAGCTTACTCGTCGCCCAACCAACTGTCAATCTCCTCATAATGAAAGATAGATAACAATACACCAACTGAACGTCGACGTCTTTTTGTGGTAGCAAAATGATATGGTTGCTCCAAGGTCGGAGCAAGAGCAACTTCTCTCATAGCAGCCTCTTTCATCTTCTTTGACTTTCCGCCATGCTTTGTCTGGGTGGAACGCTTCGAGCTCTTCTACCTGTGGAGCTCGCGTAGCTTAGTGGTCGGGGCCTTCTCACTAGAGGCGGGAGTTGCAACACCTCGGTGGTGGTGGTGGTTATCGTCACCTCAGGTTTGAAGAACTTCTTTAAAGAGTTCGACCTAGAGCGAGTGGAGGTCATCAAATCATCTGCACGAGATCAAAGATAATTAAAAAAAGAACAATGATAAGCAATTGAGAAATAATAAGTTACAACGGGTAGTCATCTACCTAAGTCAGGAATTGGTTGCAACTTTAAGAAGGTCAGGCCACAATAAGCTCGCAATTGTGGGTCATCGGTCAGTTTGACGATGTCATAAGGAGTTTTATCCACTTACAGATGAGGTCATTGAAGGTTTTACTGAGCTTGGGAGATTGAGTTGACCAGGAAGCTTCAAAATCCACTCAAAAGGAAAGTCAATTGTGTCGATAGGAAGTGGATGAAGAAGTACTTCATCTTCAACAAGGACACGTTAGAGGGGAGGTCGACAAGAATTGTAGCATTGTTATGGACTGAAAAGTAAAAGGATCTATTTTGGGGTTTGAGTTAATAGCAGTAAAAGAACATGTCAGTATCAAACGTGTGCAAAATAAACTGAATTAGGATGGTAAACCTGACCATAAGTGGGATGAAAAATAGGGGTAAAATGGTTTAAAGGTATCCTATAAGTGCGACTAATCTCTAGGAGGTCGTCCTGGAGGGAAAACTTGAGGCCGACGTAGATGTAGTCCACAAAGAAGGAATAAAAGACTATTGGAGGCTAACGGAAGATTCACCAATTTTAGGAGCTCGGAGCTCCCAGGCTCGGGGAAGCTCTAATTCATGGATAATGAAGGTGAAAAGGACTTCTATGTAGGAGGTTATAGGATTGGGTTTGACAAGCTTGACTAGGTCGGGAAATATGGTGGCTTTTTTGCCCTCGACCATGGTGACCTGGTTGGAATGTTTTGAGTTAAGAATAATGGATGGAATGGGGACTGTTCGAATGTTTGAGTAATTATCCACAATAGAGATAAGTTCGGCATGAGAATAAGAGGTTGAAGAGGTGGTTTCATCGGAATACGATGTTTTTATCGGAATTGGGGTTATTGCAGAAAATGAAAAAGGAGCAGGGCAAATAATCTCCGGAAAAACCAAGAAGAAGAAGAAGAGAAGGTCAAAGGGTAATGAACATACCCATAGTTAATAGTCATAAAAGTTGCGGGTTGGAGAATTTGAGTACACTCTGGAAAGTCAATTGTAGATTTGAAGTACAATCGCCGTAGATATTGTAGCACAGAGCTTGAAAGTTTCATAAGTGTTGAAAAGGTTTTTCATGAATGAAAAGGGAGCTTTTATATGCATAAGGTGAGAATGGTTGGCTGGTCGAGCAATTTTAGTCGTTTAAGGACAAAGGATCAAGGGTCCAGGATGGCGGGCCAGAATTTGACAAAATTGCCCCACGTGGCTAGAAGTTTACGAGGCGGTTCCATGTGGATAGTTAATGCACAACCCACGATCCATACGTGTGAAGGGGTAGATGATATAGCACTCAAAATAGCTTAGTAGACCGGATTGAGTGGTTAGCTCGGAAATGGCCGGTCTAGAGGAGATTAAGCTCAGTATCTGCGTTTGACTTCGTCAAGGAGCTTGTTCAGGAAACTCGGGGTACAAGTCAACCTTATAAGAAGACTTGAAGGTCGAACTCCTTCATGAGCTCAGATATATGGGGGGGTCATGGCCCGAAGGTCGTTAGAGTAAAAGTCGTGGTTACGACTTAGTTAGAGGCCATAGTAGGTAGGTTGCGGATCGTTCGGACGACCTAAGAACCTAAGGACCAGTATGGTAAGAGGGGACATAATTCTTTGAGGATAAAAATTGTATCTCACTAAGAAGTCTAAGATTCTAGAGACGTGATAAACTAGAAAAGTGGATACGACTGGATCTCTTTCTTAGTAGGGGCTCTACTTGAGCAACAAGACGTCCTAGTATATAAAGAGTGATCATGTTCTACTTTATGATTTAGCGCATATTTACGTATACAATATACAATTTTCCTAGCATTCTCACGAGCGAGTACTGACTTGAGCGTCAGAGGTTTTTCCAAGGGACCCCTCCACGACGTATTGCAGGTCACCGGAGCTCGAGACAGAAGGCCGTTCGTGGTGGTGTCAGTTTAACCCAATTTAATGATAATTTGTGTATTATTAATAGTACTACAACTTGAGGCTATAAATTTTATTTAAATTAATACATTCATTTTTTAAATTAATCATGTTATTGTGCACAATAATTGCATTTTATATGAATGATTATTTTTTTTTATTATATCCACAAATATTGACAAAATAATTTATAATTATTCTAATTGAAAAAAATATATAGAATAAAATTTATTGATAAAATAATTTGTAATCATTTTAATAAAGAAAAAGTATATAGATTAAATTTTTTTTAGTGTTTTGTAGTGTATGTTGTGTCGTGAGTTTTGTATTTTGGTTTGTAGTGTTGCTAGTGTCGGTTCTAGGCGGACTTCAGATCTCTCATCCTAATTTATTCAGTTTTTGATTTTATTATTCAACTACCTTTAGAAATTTGCAGTGTTCTAAAAGTCGCGAGGCGCTCGACCAGCGCCTAGCGCCTAGCGCCTAGAGCGCCTAGTCGGGGACCAGAAATTAATATTAAATACCTTATTTTATTTATTTATTTTAACTACCTACAAAATAAAACTATCTCAAGTTATAATAAATTCACACACCAAAGTCCAAATAATAATATTAATATATATTAAAGAAAACATGAGAACAAAACAATGTAATTAGTATTTAAAAAAATAAAAAAAATAAAAAAAAAACTGAAAAATTGCCGCCGAGCCCGCCTAGGAGCGCCTAGGGCCGCCTGGTCGATTTTTTCTGCCGATTTGTACAAATCGGAGGCGCCCGGACACCGCCTAGGCCGATTTATAGGACAGTGGAAATTTGTACGATTTTATATCCAAAAAAATATGAAAGTTTGGAGCAGGATATAAGAGCATCTCCAATACAACTTTTGACATTATAATAAGTCATTCATATCACCAACTTTTGAAAGTGTGTCTCTATTTTTTTCTCCAATGCATCTTGTCATAAATTTTTTCATGATGAGGAGGATGTCATTTAATGTTGACAATGTTGAGCACACTTTCTAATATCTAACACCATGTTAAACATGATGACTCACAATTTATTTTATATTTGTTTTTATTTTTTATTTTTTTTGTATCAATAAATTATTTAATTGGTCCACCTATACAAATAACTTCTTATCAAATTGATGCATTGGAGATACTAGTTCCATTGAAATTTCTAGTCTTTTAACATTATTCCAATGTGGATTAACATTACACTTACTAATTTACATGTGTTAAAAATAATGATCTTTCACACTTATAGCATTGAAGATGCTCTAATAATTAGTATCTAGCAAATTCATGAGGTTCACCGTTGACCAGTGTCATTCGATCCAATTATATCTCATATTTGGGGGCTCCGAATAGAACCCACCGCCCCAGTTGACGGAAGTGGTTGCGACCACCATATCCGCGGCCGCAACTTCCACTTTTATCATATATCCACCGCCTGTCGATTAAAAATCAAACCCTACTATTACAATCAATCTCCGCAATTCCTCGAGAACACTAACCTTGTTCTTGGTCCATCAAATTTCTGAGCTCATAGGGCAACTCAAGTAAGCTGCAGAGATGGGGAAAAAGCAGCACAGCAAAGACCGGATGTTTATAACCAAAACGGAGTGGGCCACCGAGTGGGGCGGCGCCAAATCCAAAGAAAACGGCACCCGCTTCAAACGCCTCCCTTTCTATTGCTGCGCGTAGGAACCCCTTTCTCGCTTTCACATACTTTTCTATTTGTAATATATTTGAAAGTGTGGTTAATCTGTGAATGTCTGATGCAGTCTCACGTTTACGCCGTTCGAGGACCCCGTCTGCACCGCAGATGGCAGTGTGTTTGATGTCTTGTGAGTGTGTTGAACCTTTTTGCTGTGACTTTTGTGTTTTCAAATGAATTAGGAACTGATTGCCGAAAAGGATTGATGCTTTACATGCTGATTGTTTGAGTTGTTTTCCCAGGAACATAATTCCGTACATCAGAAAGTACGGGAGGCATCCCGTGACTGGAGTTCCGCTGAAGCAGGAGGATTTGATTCCACTCACTTTCCACAAAAATTCAGAAGGTAGTTATAAATGCTACTGAATTTGATGTGTTTCTGAATCGGAAGCAGTGTTATTGGATTAAATGTATTATGCAATTTCTGATTTAGTATATTACGTCTACCACCACACCCAAATACCCAAGTAAATTTGTTGCTGTTTCGAATTAAATGTGCAAAATTTTGACTGAGGTAGATTTTTGCCTATTCGTATGACAGATTATTGTAGGGAAAAATTGATGTCACAATACATGCAGCTGATTTAATAGCTCCTTTCCAGCATTTCTCTTCAAAGTACTCTTTGTGTTATTGAACTCCAATCGGAACTTCATCTAACCATGCATGTGCAATATAGCTCCATTAGAATTGCAAGTGTTGGTTCTTTTAGTGTTTACGGTGCTACTGCAACTAAAGAATCTTCCTTCATGACCTAATCATAACCGCTTTGTAGGAGATTTATTTGATCTCATCCCCACGCGCTCAAGAAATTGTTGATATATATTTTGGAGATGAATACATCTTGTATCCAGTCATGACCTGTAAAATGTAGATGATTGCAGAAGTAGGATATGTTCAGATTTTAGTATCATGACTCTGGAGTTACCAACTTATATTGTTATTCATATCATTTTGTGTGAATGAGGTACGATGCTTTAGTTCTCAAATATAATTATTCCTAATTGAGTATATAGAACAGGCAGTTAACTAAGGGACTAGGTTGAAGGAAAGGGGAAATATACAGTTAAAACCATCTGACTTCGCTTTTATAATTACTTAATGAGTTAATGTTGCTTTTTGGTATTTATTTATTTTTAACTTTTTGTAGGAGAGTATCATTGCCCGGTCCTGAATAAGGTTTACACAGAGTTCACGCACATAGTTGCTGTAAAAACTACAGGAAATGTGTTCTGTTATGAGGTATATTTCTTTTGCTTTTCTAAGTCACTTCTCAATTACCATTCCCAAAAATGTAAATTCATTAAACTGTTGCTTCCCAGGCCATCAAGGAATTAAACATTAAAACCAAGAACTGGAAGGAGCTTCTCACTGATGAACCTTTCACCAAGGAGGACATTATAACCATTCAGGTTAGAATTCAGTCACTCTCTGATCTTGGTAGAAGTTTTAGTTCCCAAGTTAAAATTTCAGAAGCATGATTCACGTTTGTCTTGTTTTGTTTCTTACTGTTCAGAATCCTAATGCACTTGATAGCAAGGTTCTCCTGGACTTTGATCACGTCAAGAAAAACCTTAAAGTTGACGACGAAGGTAAACAGCTTTACTTGTGTATATTTTCACTAGACCTGCTTCCAGTAACAATCTTAAGTAATTATGTTTGATTACGGCAGAATTAAAAAAAATGGAAACCGACCCGTCTTACAACATAAACGTCAGTGGAGATATAAAACAAATGCTTAAGGAGCTCGGTACTGAAAAGGGAAAGGAAATTGCATTGCATGGTGGCGGAGGAAGTAAGGCTATAAAAGAAAGAGCTGCAGCTCTTGCTGCCATTTTAGAAGCCAGATCACGCATTAAGGATGACTCTGAATCAAAGGGTGGTGAGAAGCCTAAGCAGACATACAGTATAGTGGATGCAGCATCTGCTGCAGTTCATGGGAGAAGTGCTGCTGCCGCAAAATCTGATGCTAGTCATAAAACTGCTGCTCGTATAGCGATGCATATGGCTGGTGAGAGGACACCAGTGAATGCAAAACT